TCTGAGACAGGTGGGGATCGAACTCATGCAGAAGTGGCTTTAGCTTCTTAGTGCTGTGCTTTAACCCACTGCGCCACCAGGGAGGGCTCCTTCTACTGACTTTTGGGTTATCTTGTTGTTGTTTTTCTAGTTCTCTAAGGTGGGAGATTAGGTTGTTTCTTTGAGTTGTTGCTTGTTTCGTTATGTGAGCTTGTATTGCTCTATATTTTCCTCTATGACTGCTTTTAATGTGTCCCAAAAGTCTTGGTGAGTTGTGTTCTCATTGTCATTCTTCTCAAGGTATTTTTTAAATTTCTTCCTCGATCTCCTCATTGATCCAATGGTCCTCCAGTAATGTGGGTTTCAATCTCTGCAAGGTAGGTGGGTTTCTTGCCTTCTTCACATGGTTTATTTCTAGTTTGATTCCTTCATGGTCAGAGAAGATAGTTGGTATGATTTCGATCTTAGTGTATCTACTGATATTTTTCTTGTATCCCAGCTGTGGTCAACCCTTGAGAATGATCCATGTGGATTTGAGAAAAATGTGCACTCAGATTTTTGGGGGTGCGGTGTTCTACAGATGTCTGTTAGACCCATGAGGTCTAGGTCCTTGTTTAGAACTTAGTTTTTGTCTTGTTGATCTGTCCATTGTTGAGAGTGGCGTATTGAAGTCTCCCACTACATATGCATTTTCTCTAATATATTTTTTCATAGCTGACAATAATTTCCTGATATATTTTGATGCTCTTTCATTTGGTGCATATGTTGATGAGGGCTATATCTTCTTGCTCTTAATCATAATGTAGTGGCCATCTGTGTCTCTTTTAACCCTTTTTATCTGATGTAAGTATAGCTGTTCCTGCCTTCTTTTTTGGTCCATTTGCTTGTAGGATTGTTTTCCATCCTTTTACTTTCAATTTTTATCTTTTATAGTTAGATGTGTTTCCTGGAAACAGCAAAAGGTTGGGTTCTGTTTTTTAATACAGCCTGCAACTCTGTGTCTTTTTATTTTATGAGTTTAAGTTATTTACATTAAGAGTTAATACTGATACATTGGCATCTATATTTGCCATTTTGTTTGTCTTTTTGTACTTTTTCTACTTGTTTTGATTTGTTCTTATTTATCCCTCTGTTGGGTTTGGCTTAAGGACTTGTAGTATTTTTGGAGTAGGGGTTTAGTCGTGACAAAACTGTGGAGTTTCCGTATGTTTGAGAATGCCCTATTCTTTCTTCATAGAGGAAGGAGAGTTTCACAGGATAAAGTATTCTTGGCTGCATTTGATGCTATGGAGTTTGTTGAATATATCCTTCCATTCTCATCTTACCCGTAGTATTTCCTTGGAAAAGTCTGATGTCGGCCTGATTTGTTTTCCTTTATAGGTTATTTGTTTCTTTCCTCTTGTTAATTTCATCATTTTTTCCTTGTCTTGGATTCTTGGGAGTTTTATTATTATGCATCTTGCTGAATTTCTCCTTTCATCATGGTAGTTTGGGGTGCTTCTTTTTTCTTGTATGTCTGTTTTCCTCTCCTTCATACTTGGGAAGTTCTCTTCAGTTATCTCTGAATATTTTCTCAATTCCTTGGCCTTTCTCCTCACCTTCTGGGAGACCTATACTCTGATATTTCCTTTCCTCGTGATGTCAGATAGCTCTCAGAGTGTTTCTTCATTCCTTATTATTTGGCTTTAAAAGGGATGAAACTGATACATGCTACAATATAGACAACCTTGAAGATATAATTCTAATTGAAATTATATAGACACTAAAAGACATATATCTGAAGCATCTACTTACTTGAGATATCTAGAATACTCAAATTCACAGAAAGTAGAAGAGTAGTTACTGGAAGATTGAGGGAGAGTGAGGGGGGCCACTGCTTAATGGGTATAGAATTTCAGTTTGGGGTCAGAAAGTTCTGGAGATGAACACCACTGATTTGTACAGTTAAAGCCAATTAAAGTGGTAAATTTTATGTTATGTGTATTTTGCCACAATAAAGAATTAGCCTTGTTCATTTTTGATTCCAAGTTTCCTTGTACTTGTACAAAGAGGAGTGATAACTGCTAATGTGTAGGCTGTATTGGCAGAGCAGCTTTGTAAACAGATAAATGATGCCAGTTTGATATCACTGTCATCTGATATGTTAGTAGATCAGTTCTCTCCATTTCAAGGATTGAATTTTTTTTTCATTCAAAATAAAGCTTCAGGAAGTTCATCCTGCCAAAGGCAAACATCTTAAATTAATGTGAACACTAGTGGAAATTTAGTTAAAATGTCTGGCAGTGAATCCAAAATTGTTTTTGAGGTCTCATTACAAATATATATGTTGGGGAAACACAGCTGCCTGACAAAAACGATGTTTTTTCTAAATTAAACCATTAAGTAGCAATGACCTCGGAATTGGTTGTGATGCATATGTAATTTCTAATTCATTCAAACCAGCTGTGGTAGTCTACCAACTGAAATTGAAGCTGCAGTTAAGTATTACAAATATTTTTATATATTCTCAGAGCAGCACTGATAAAACTGACGTAGCATCACAAAAATCCTTTGGCATAGTGATACACACTTTCCTTTTTAGCTGCAAATCATTAATCAGACTTTAGGGATGCTTGAGCTTACACAGAGCTACTCTGGAAATCAGAGTAGTCTTATAATGGAACCAGATTTTTTTCTTTTTAAAATGAGCCATCTGACATTTTTGTCAAAAATCAGTTGGAAAGATTTCATCAGTGAATGGACCATTAAAATAAAACTTCAGCTTTTCAAATGTTTTTTGCAGATTTTCAGTTGCTAGAAGAAAGCAGAACTTTTACGTGGGAAGGCATGGGAACCTATTCCTACAACAGGGAGGGAACAATGAAGAAAATTTGAGAACCGAGAACACGTGGAGCTCAACTGACCATTCTACTTGGAGGATCTTAACTGGAAGGGAGAATCTTTGGACGAAGTTTCTCTTTTTAATTGCATATATTTATATTCTGTACCAGAATGGAATAAAATTGAGACATGATGAGTTTGGCAAAACATTCAAACGAGTCATAAATAGAGATTTCATGTCGGATGCTTTTTTATCTTGTAGCAACTCTTACCAAAGAAAGGCACTCTGGAAGGGAGCAAAAGACTGTGCATATGGAAATGATTGGACTGAATTTCACTGTGAAATAAATTAGAAACAGGAATTTCCTTCCTTTAGCAGAATTTCCTTTGCGTTCACAAGGTACTCTGAAACGTGTGAAGGGTATTTTCTCAATTAAAAATATCTTGGTCAGTGTGTTGGGAGGAAAGGATGTCTTGAGTAAATTCCACAAAGACAGGGTTTTATGGACTCGATCCCCACCCCAGACCAGAGAGAGCCAAGACCCCAAGGACTACAAACCCCAGAATGCCACCACCATGAAAGGGAGGTGCTGGGACCTGAGGGTGGAGCTAGGCAGCCAGGCTTGGTCATAACCAGACAGGTGGGCCTTGGGAGGGCCCCTTGGTGTTTTCCCAGTTTTCAGGGTGCCATTGGGGTCCCAGCTCAGCAGAACTGGTAGGATGAATTGCCCAATTTATCTCTCTTTCTCCCTGAGTTATTTCCTTTCTTCATTTTCCCTTTTTGTAAACAACCCCTTTCTTAACCTTTCTGTGTGTGCATGCGGGTGTCACTGCAAGTCCCTTTTAAGCCCGGGGGTGAAGATTCACAGTCACACCACCCTATTTCATTTTGGGGTTGCCCTGTAACAAGTGAAGATATCTTTTAAGGTGTCAATTTCAAATTGGTAAGCAATTTAAATGAAGACAATTTGGGGTTAAGGCATAAAAATCTAAAAATAACGACTTCAAATTGAAAATAAAACCCTTTTTTTCAGAATGATATACCTGACAGGATCAGATAAATGTGCTAAATATATACAACATGTATGAGTCAAATGAAAAAGGAATGAAACCTTGAAACACATTAGCATTAGAATCCGATAGGACTATAAAATGGATCAAAGTACATGATCCCTGAGTAATAATTCTTCTAATACTTAAAAACAGTTACTTTGTAGACTATAGATACTTTCAAAATATAGCTCAATCTTATTTAGATTTATTTTTGTCTTGAAAGTGATTTTATTTTTATAGTTTTTGAGAAGCACACAAGTGTGTTAGAGCTAAATTATTATCAATATACTGGATATATTTGAATGTCACTTCAGTTATTGTCAGTATCCCCTAATCTCATGGGAGACAGTTCAGACTGAAAGTCTTAATCCTGCACAAGAAGAGTCTTTAGCAAAGCTGCAGGGACTCCATAGAGACCGTGTGGAGTGAGTGGGTGCAGGAAAGGGCTAGAATGCGTTGCCGGCAGCCAGTGTCCGCAATTGCGGCCCTGATAGGAACCAGCGAAAAACCCAAAAGAATGCAAGAAAGTTCCAGCAACAATCAAACTTGGCTGGTAGCCATTTAACTATAGTACTAGTTAAGCGCAGGTGGTAGCCTGACTCTTCTACTCCCCAACCTTTCCTGCTCTCCTTTCCACCGTCCAGCCTATAGGGGCTAGCAATTAAGGGGTGGTTGCAGGCTGGGCACCCAGAGATGGTCAGGCCCCTACAAAAACTCCAGAGGTGCAGACCCTACCTGCCCATGTGAGGACGGGGCTGGTGTGAAACCTGGGCTGCTGTGTGCCTCGTATGGGGGTCTTACTGTGCTTTTTGTACAAATAAACCTGGAGTTTTAAACTTACAAGTGTGCACTTAAATCAGGAGTGATTAAACCAGAACAGTACAGCCACATGTCACTTAGTGATATTTTGGTCAATGTCAGGCTGCAGATGATGACCCCACAGGCTGGAGCAGGGGCCTTGGTGTGAAGGAGGCTCTACCAGCTGAGTCTGTGAAGTTACCCTCTGTGACATTTGCACAATGACTAAATGGCCTATTTAGAATGTGTCCCTGTTGTTAAGGGCTACATGACTGTAGAAAAGCCATTAGGATTTGAACTTTACTACTAACTCCAGTGAGTCAATCAATTGATTTCTCCATGCCTCAGTCTTCTTTGCAAAGCGGCAATACTTTTGATTTAGCCAGGTGGGCGGGAGAATTAATTGGTATAAATACATACAAAGATGCTTTGAAAAATACAAAGTGTTATACAGTCTGCAAGACTCTACCCAGGTTGACGTCCTCAGAAACGCAGCTAGTGGCAAGACCGAGAGCTTTTAATACTTAGGGATCTGTGGGCCAGTGGCTGGATCTGTAGTCAGGCTTAATTGTTTCGTTAAGGACTGGCAGATCTGTTTGGCCTATATTCAGCCAACTTATTAGAAAGAAGAAACCAGCTAGGAGTAAACCCAAATGAGACAAATTAATCATTAACCTCTCATTGCAGTCATCTTTGCCTTCAGGATTAATAAGTCCTGAATCATAGATATAATACAACAGTTTCAGTGTTTAAAAGTTGGTTATTTGTTAGTACAAAGAACAAGTTTTGAGTGTTCTTTGTTTACCTAAATGAAGATGAAGCATTTGGAGGCCTTCCTGGTGGAACAGGGGTTAAAGTCTCAGTGCAGTCAAGTTATTGCCAGCCAGCCATTGCAGCATGAGTTTGACCCCCAGCCAGGGAGCTGACCCATACGGTGCAGCAGACCTCTCCTGTCTTGCCTGCTGCTCCCCTCAGTAGTTTATTTCAGTCGACCTACCTGTTCTGCTCTCCACTCTGTCTCTGGTGAATCCTGTCACTCTCCTCCCCTGCACCCCGGGTTGTATATGAATAAATAAAAATAAATATTTCAAAAAACAAAACGCAAAACTGAGCTCCCACCCCTTGCCTAGCAGGAAGGTCTGGGAGGCTAGAACAGATCAAAGAGAATTGGTAAGGTTGCCTTGAACCAGACCATAAGACTGTTCACCGTGACCATGCTGAAGCAGGGCAGGACATGTTCTGTGTCAAAAGCATTAGCCCAAGGCCAGACATCCCAGCACTAACTACCACTCTGGTCACGAAAAGCCTGTGCAGACAGGTTATAAGAGGGAGCCCCAAATTCTTCAAGCACAGACCCCTCCTGTCTTGCCCTCTACTTCTTTTACCAGTGCATTTCAGTAAATCCCCCTTTCCGCTTTACCCTCTGTCTCTGGTGAATTCTTTCAACCTGCACCTCTGGCTTCACCCAATCTTCTACCCACAACAAAAGATAGGGGTGAACAAAATAGGTTTCTTACCCTGAATTTGTGCTCAGCTTCTTAGGGACCAGCTGAGTCCTAATCCTGGAGTTTGAAGGGGAGAGGCAGCCAAAACCTTCACGCACACACACCCAACGTGCTCCAAAAGATATTCTGGCTAGGGCTTTCCATGTAATTAGCACCAGCAGAGATGAATGTCCAAGTTTGAAATCATCTCTCCGAGCAGCTACAAAACCCTCTGTCCCCTTAAGGGGAGCCTGAATCAAGAGGCTGGTATTTAAATTGACAGCCATTCATCACATTTTAAGGGCAGACATCTGAAATTAGAATGCCCAAAGATCAGGAGAGCAGAAGATGATATTTTGTGAGTTTTCGCAAGACAGTGTGTTTTAAAATATGACACTCATCTCCATAGTGGTTGAAGGACATTTTTAAAACAACCACCAAAATCCCAAACCAATTTTCAGCCTGACTACTCACCATGACTTTCCTCCAAAACTGTCTATACAGATGGGCTCTGAGCTGAGTTTTCCTGAATCTAAACACCAGCAGCCTTGACCAGCTCAGAAATGCAATAAGCAGGACTCATCCCAAAGCACATAAATACTGATTTTTAAAAAATTTTATTATAATAGCTTATTTTTTTTAAAGATTTATTTATTTATTTGTACAGAACTGGGGTACAGGCCAGAGATGTGGGAGGGTGGGAGGAGCCACCAGAGACAGAGTGGGGAGTAGAACAGGCAGAATGTCGAAGTACACTGCTGAGGGGAGCAGCGGGCAGGCCAGGAGAGGTCTGCCACACCATGTGGTCACCGCCGGGGCATGCGGGGATCGAACTCATGTGGAAGTGGCTTAAGCTTCTCAGTGCAGTGCTTTAACCCGCTGCGCCACCAGGGAGGGCCATATAATAGCTTATTTTTACAACATTTTGTGCCTTTTCCATCTCAGTTGTAATCCCTGTGGGCTTCCCATCACCAGATCACCCCCTGTGTACCATCACCATTGTCCTGTGCACTTCCCCCTCCCCATTTTTGATCCCATTCCCCAATTCACCCCTGTAAAATGTCTCTGGTATTTATAGTTGTTCATCATTATTTTTTTTTCTCCCCTGGTCCTTGATGCTCCTGCTATGAGTGAAACCATCGGTATTTTTCTTTCAGGCTTATTTCACTAAGCATGATCTCTTCCAGCTCCATCCATGTTGCTGCAAAAGGATTGAGCTTACCTTTTTGATCGCTGAGTAATATTCCATTGTGTATATGTACCACATCTTTTTAATCCAGTCATCTACTTTTGGGCATTTGCGTTGATTCCATGTCTTTCCTATTGTAAATAAAGCAGCAATAAACATGGGAGTGCAGGTGTCTTTTTGAATCAGTAAACAGTGATTTTTAAAAGAATTTTATATGCCTAAAGATCACAAAATGCTTTCCCTGAGCTGCCTGTAAGTGCAAGTTTCTTTTGGGACTACAGTCTCCCCCTTGGGTCTATGAAAAAATAGCCAGACTCATAATTTCTAATCAGGTATTTGTAGCATAGGCTGGAAATAGACCAAGGGTTGGATTTTGTTATTTAGTGAAGAGAAGATGGAATCTTCACCAAGAGGCATAATATTACATCCCTGAATGACACCTTAGATTTGGCTCAATGATCCTTCTTTATTTCCTATTTCTAGATGAACTTTCTCATCTTTTCCTGTGGCAATCTTTACCCATTAAATGGCAAGTAATTCTCCATTCTTATCTCCCCCCAGCTGCAGCAACCATCATTCCACTACTTTCCTTCTTTATGGAGTTTAGGTACCTCATATAAGTGGGCAAAAATAATTAGTGGGTAACAGCATAATGTTCTCAATGTTTGTTTATGTTGTACATGTGACAGGATTTCCCTCCTTTTTAAGACTGCATAATATTCCATTGATGTATATATCATATTTTGTTTATCCACTCACCCACTGATGAAAATTTGGGGTTATTTCCAA